CCTCCTTGGCTAGATAGGCGACTTGCTCTGCCGTTTGGTGCTCATTTTCAAAAATCCTCCTATTCCTTTCCTTCCATGGGCCTAGTCGTTTGGAGGAATTTGGATGGTTTGGATGAATGCTGGAGGAATTTGTGGGAGAAAAACATTGCTCTCGGATGAAAAAAGAAGCGGATCAAGCCGGGTTTAAGGGCATATGTTCCACACAATGTAAATAAGCGCTCCGTTAAACGTTCCGCGTTCTTGCTTCGGTATCATGCTTGCCACGTCCTCCCACCAGTCGGCCAGACACTGGGGCTCTTGTTGGGGTAGCTGCACATCGAAATTTTCCCAAGATAATACCCGCAGAATTGCAGTGCTAATGCAGTATTGGCCCAAAATGTTTCCTGATCTGAGACACTTGGTATGTATGCAGCTGTACTGACAGCAGTGCTTCATTGTTAGAATAGTATCTGACTTGCTGCAGGAGATGACAATGGGCATTTATTTTTGACAGAACAGGAGGGGTCGAGACCCCTGACAATGAGCATTTCAGCATCGTCTTTCAAAATGCAGTGTGCTTCGAAATTTTATTGTCCAGACATAGTTCTATATAGGTGGGCATTGCTGCTACCATAGTTTGTTTAAATAAAGCACAACGTACCACTGTCTGTCAAAGTGTTTTCTGTATGACTGTATCTATAAACTTAAGTGATTTCAGAGCCGCTACACTTTTTTATCTAGTTTTTCTTATCTCGCTGTTCAGTTAATATTCGGTACATTATGGAGCTCCAAAACATGTAATTGCGGATGGTACTTGTGCTGACTGTAAGCAGATTGCCCTCGCAAGTCAAATGCCATGGTGCACCGAGTATTTTGGAAGGATGAGAGCTCAAAATCTCGATCAACACTATTTTATATCTTACTAAATATATTTATTTGTCAAGCTTTTAGACTGTATCTTTCGTCGACTGATCATCTAATGCTTAGCATCAACAATACTTTGCAGCGTGTTCACTTACACATATCAAGCATTCAGGAGCTACCCTTTTCAGTCTTGGCCGGTGCAGGTTGGCGAGGCATATAAATATTCTTTCAGGAGCTACCCTTTTCTGCCTCAAAACGCCCGGTCGTTCTCCATCGAAGTCGAGGTTCGTCGTTCGCCGCCCCTCCAGCGAGGAGGGAAGCCGCAGGCGGCAGGCAGCAAGGGCAAGAGGCGTCTCTCACAACAATTCGACTTGTTCAGCTTAGTTTTTTCCACCAAAACAGTGTTTTTCTCTCATAACAATTCAGCCGGAATCACGTTTTTCAGTGAGTTTTAGCCAAGATTCAGCAAACCGAACGGGGCCTAAATGTGCTCCGTCCTGTTGCTTGGTTTCGTTGGCAGGACCGCAGGAGCTTGCTTGTAGCTTTTGAGCTAAAGGCAACAGCAATAGCGTACGCCTATCAACTATTTGTGGAAAGGGCCCGTTCGGTTGGTATTAAAACCGGCTGATAAACCGACTAAAACTGTTTTGTTGTGAGAGAAAAATACTTAGTTGATAAGTTCAAACGAATAGGACTTGTTTCCTAAATTTTGCCTAGAATTTTAATTACATAAATTTTTATCGGTTGTTTTCCAGATGCTAAAAGACATGTGTATGCCCAATGATCACCATTACAATCTGAAAAAGTGTGACATCGATTCCGTTAACGAAAAATTTCCAAAGCCGGGTGTCACGCACTTTCGTGCAGCGTCGACCCGCCCGATGCACCCGAACGGGCGAACGGCCAAACCCCATCAGGCCGGCAGTTTTCTGCCCCAGCCCCCAGCAAACGTGCCGACGGACGGTCATCTCACCTCACGGATCCACCCCCCACCCCGAGCCCATAACGGCGCGCGACCGGGCGTGCGGCGCGGGAGGCGCCACGCCGCCTCGAAGCTTCCGGGTTCGGGCACGCCACCACAACCCGAACGGCGCGCGGGGCCCGGTGCGCGCGCACACGCCGGGCGGCGCGCTGCCCACTCCGGGTTAGCAGCAGCACACCTGCACACGCATTTGCCGCAAGATTGCGGGGTTATATGAGAGCGAGAGATCAGCGGCCGTTTCACTCCCCGCGCCCGATCGGGCGCACTGCACTTGTGGTGTGTCACGCCCCTCGCCACCCTCCCACAACCCCATCTCCCATCCTCCCCGACGGCGCTCCTGGCAGCAAGGTACTCAATGACCTACCCCCCGATGCTCCCGTTCCTTCCTTCTTCCTCGGTGGATTGCTGTGTGCGCTAGATCGATCGATCGCCCTTCTGTGTCCGATCGCTAGCAACTGGGTGGGATTGCTGTGGAATCGGGTTATGGGTGGATGTGTGGTTTGGTAGATCCATCCATGGCCGTTCCCGTATCCTCGTAGTAGTAATTTTCTCCGCTCTTCTGGAGTCGAGGGAAACCCTCAAGAAATGAGTGTCAGTTGTGATTCCGGACTGAGTTCTGGGTTCCCTCGCCCTTTCTATTGCGCTAGGAGAAATGTTCCTTCCGAGATTGGGCACACTCCGCAAGGACGTGTTGCCGGTATGCTTTCCTCTTTCCCCTTCTTTTATTTTATATATGCGAGATTATTAGATAACTGCGATTTGCTAGATGTTGAAATTAACCTGGTGCTACAAGAAACCTATTTCCATTTAGCTTCCAGTAAAATCCAGTCGATTAGGATCAGCAGTCGATTAACTGGTACATCCACCTCCTGCTTTGTGCCAACATAGGAAACTCAAGCATGAGTTAGCTCTATGAGTGAAATTGCAAGTATCAATTGGAAAGATCCACGTCGGTGGTTGTGGCTCCAACCTGTTGCTGAAGGTAACTGTGGACTGCGGTTTAGAATGAACTGAAATATTTTTGGTAGGAATTTCAAGAACCGATCGTCAATCTTTTGGAGGTAATCAAAGCCTGATTGAAGTTTGGGCAAAAACTGGTTTCACTTTGATTCAATTGTTTACAAGGGGAATCTTCGGATCCTCTGGCCTTTTCAGTTTACTCCTATACTGGGAGAACACCATGAACTAATCTCTGTTTAGTGCCAACAATGAAAATTTTGATCCGTTGCTGATAAATGAACCATGATAAAACTAAATCCTAAAGTATATTATTTATTACCAATTCCTGGGGTTGTTATCTGGAACTGTCCAGTTCCAGGTGATAGTCCACCTCAAAATAAATAGTAATGAGCACCACACTGCATTAAGTTTTGTAAACCTTAAGTGCAATAAAGTTTAGTCAGAAATCTGTGTTGTGCCTAACTGCAACCTCTTTTTTACCCCTGAGAAAATGGACCTCTATAATATCGTTGAAATATTATGGTCTGTTTGATGATTTGCGGAGTCAGGCCTTTCAGGTCAAGTCAGTTCTGTACATGGTGGTGAGGCGCTTCTCCCTAGAGTGAGTTGGTCCGGCTCCGGCGAAATGAATTGCACTGCAGTGTTGGGCCCTGTTTGGTTTCTTTACTCGCCGCTTGCTTCGCCTTGCTGGGTGAGGCTAAGCATTTGGTAGTGTTGGCTCAGCAAGGATTTCCTTGCCTATGGAGGAGAGCCGATCATGAGCAAGGTCTTGCTCGCTCGTGTTTACATCGCTGCGCGCTCCAATCTGGCACGTCACCGCACGCTCCGATCTGCCCTCTGAATCTTCTTGCCGGCCATCGGATTGAGAACATGCAAGTGAAACGAGCCATAGCACCAGCCAAGTTGAGGATGCATAGGATAATCAAGTTTTGATGCAGCCAAATAGAGGCTGAGCGACCATTGGTATTTGGTAGAAGCACCGCACTGCCCCAAATCGACTGCTAATCCTCAAATTGAACCTCCTCCCGATCTAGTTCAAGCTCCGCGTGGTGCCCAATAGAGATCCTTGATGCCCAAATTGATTCTTCTCTTGACATCTTCCCCACGCAGATCAAGCTGCTCATTCCATCTTGCCTTGAATCAACCTCGTCTCCTCTGGAATCAACGTCTTGTCAAATAGAATCGGCTTGGTAGGATTTAAATCGAGCTTCCTGCTGTTGTATCGAGCGCCTCTGTCCCAATCATTCTTGTCGGCGTTGGTGTTAGGCTCTCCCATGTAGAGCTCATGGTATGTGGGGAGAAGGGAGGGAGGGGAGAGCAACCCAACAAGGGAACAAAACAGAGCAAGCAAATCCCATCATCCTTTGTGGAGCGAGACGAGGCGAGGCTGGCTAAGCAAGGTGGAACTGGCAAAGGTTCCAAACATTAATTACGGAGGATGGAACCATGTGCTGACTAAATCCAAATAAAATGGTAGGGTCTGATTTAGGATCGGATTACTCTGGAATCACTCTGTGCCACAATTCAAACATGCTGTTAATCTACCACTGCTGAAGGTAATACTATATTAGACCCTAATCAAGATTAGAGGCTTAGGCATTTGAAAAACACACACGAAATAAGTAAAAATTACACCGTTCTAATTGGACAGCTCCACTTATTGCTAATATACCTTGTTGTCCAAACAATCTACTTTTCTATCTGTATCAAGTTCAAAATATTAGACTCCTTTCTGAGATGTATTGGTACCAAGACTCCATGATATAGATTGGTTGGGATAGCAGGAAGAAACAACCAGTTAGTCGCCCTCCCTCTGGAGGCTCTGAATATTTTCTTCTTGCTTGTTCTAATGACTGCTCTGCCTCTGTTTATATAGAGGTGACACCTAAAAGACTAAAACCTGATAACATCCTAATTAGCCCTAATTTAATTGCTAGTTACTACTAGCATGCAACTGACCCTAACAACTTGGGAACTTCCTCCTTATTTGGAGGCACGCCATAACATTAATGTATCATAAGTTGGTAGACCATTTGAAGCAGATATGCACCGGCTTCACCTCATGAGATGCATAATACTTATAAACACACTTACCAGTTTATTGGTTTCGCGGGTCTATGTGGTAGAAGCACTTTGTTTTATAATTGTTGTCCCTAGTGCTTTGTTTATGGAAACTTTCTGCTATGCTGAATGCTTAATTTGTCACAGGAACAAAATGTCCAATAGGGCCACACATTGGTGTTATGCCTGTCGGCGGCCAATTCGTCTCCGTGGGCAGGATATCATATGCCCCAACTGCAATGATGGTTTTATCCAAGAAATCAGTGAGATGGGTGGCCGATTGAACACTTATGGGCTAATTGAACCGGACTTTGAAGAGCATCGAGCTAGAAGATTTGGAATGATGGATGCCATGTCTTCCCTTATGCGGCAACGGATGGAAGAAATAGTAGAAGATAGTTTGTTTGATGTTCATGGTAGACAAGGGACAGGTACTGAATATGGAAGGAGGCCAACTGCTGTTCCTACGCTGGTATTTGGCGGCATCCCTTCTCCTGGAGTTGGTAGCAGTGATGTTAATGTTGTCCTCAGGGGAGGCCGCAGAGTTGGCGCTGTCCATCCAAATTTCAGTAGTTTAGTTGTTGGTCCCAGTCTGGAAGCCCTATTTGAGCAGCTACTCCTCCAGAACAACCGTCAAGGCCCAGCACCTGCTCCACAGTCAGCTATTGATTCCATGCCTGTGTTGAAGATAAATCGCAGGCATCTTGACGACGATGCGCAGTGTGCAGTTTGCAAAGACGAATTTGAGGTTGGAGCAGAGGCACGGGAGATGCCATGCAAGCACCTGTACCACACTGACTGCATCATCCCCTGGCTGGTTCAGCACAATTCTTGCCCTGTTTGCCGCCATCCACTGCCATCACAGAGATCAGGCAGTACCAGTAGCGCCCGTGTGCCTTCAGCTTACTACAACGAAGCCGCTGATGCTCCTGGGGTCACCAGAGCAGATCTTGAACCTGCTCCAAGAAACAGCGGCAGCGAAAGCCAGGAAAGGCACAGCTCCTTCTCGTTTCTCTGGCCATTTGGCATGTCGAGTTCCAGTTCCAGTTCTTACCAGTACCAAGAAAGTGTTGATGAGCCTGCAGTATACGATCCAAACCAGAGAGCATATTCTGAGTGGCACTATGACCCCTGACTGAAACCCTGCAGCAAGTCCAAGCTATCTGCAATTCGTTCCTTGAACCTTCAGCTCTGGTGAAGCATTCATCAGCTGTAATGGCTGCTTGCCGTAGATAAAAGGCAAGGATGGTTCTTGCCTGTTGTCTCGTGTTCAGTGCATACCCTTGCTCCGGCATGTCCATTGTGGAGCTGTCAGCTGTGTATAGAACTGGGAGCAATGAACTCTGCTGTAATGCCCGTATATATTCCTGTTTTGGTATATCAAGTGTAAAGCTATAGTACATAATCCCTTATGTGCAGTAATAAGTGAACTGAATGCATCCAGAATATCATGTCATGATAAACTTGATTATACTTACATTACATTACATGGTTGTCTTTTTAGACTAAACATAGCATCAGTCTTCTGTTCGGACTATACTGAAACTAAAAGAATTCCGATACATCTATTTTATACATTTTTGGGGGTCCTGTAGCTGATCTCAAGCTTTCTACCCACAACTGCTTGCAAGTTGTTGCTTATAATACATTGATGCCTCAGTTGATACCATCTCTGATAGTCTATCAGAAGCCAAATCCCTCGTACTGTGACTATTAATCATTTGTCAGTTTACCTGTTAGAAAACGAGAAACATATACCCTGTTCGGTTGATTATATCAGCCATGATATAATATTTTTTTCTCGTAACGAAACAGCATCAGCCGGCTTATAATCACGTAAACGATATATTCTGTTGAATAGACCGGAGAACTGGGCTAGGTTGAATAGACCGGAGAACTGGGCTAGAAAACAAGAAACATATGCCGAGTTCCACCTTACACGAGGGAGAAGGCGCAACATCTCGCGTCCATTCTGCCGCTCAGCAGACGGGCAAAACCACCAAAACCCGCAGCAAAATTTCCAAATTCCAAACACATGGCGATGACGAGGAACGCGACCCTTGACCGGAGCTGACGCTCGGAGCCGTCGTCATATCCCACTACAAAATCTATCCGACTCCAAAGCAGGCACACTACTCGTCTAATCCCCGGACCCCGGGCAGCGGCGGCGGCAGCAGCCATGGCTTGCTCCGCGCACCTTCTGTCCCACAGCCTCTACTCGTCCCACTGCTCCAGTCCGGCCGGGCCCAGTAACCTCCGCTCCAAGGGCCGACCGCCGGCACGGGCGTCTCCCGCTGGGAGGCCCGCCTCGAGGGCCAGGGGCTGCCGGGGTGTCAGCCTGATCGCCGCGTCGTTCGAGGAGGGGAGGAGTCAAGTGGAGGTAAGCGCCTTTCTGAACCCTTCAATTATGAACGTAAATGGGGAATTTGGTAAGGACTGTTCGGATTGCGGGAGGAAATGTAGGAAACCAAAGGATTCGGCCACGCTGTTTGTCTGTTATGCGCTTTCGGAATGCACGAAATGGTAAACGGGAGAAGGAATTTCATTTCTGCGCGGATTCTGTCCGTTCCCGCCCCGCCGATTCTCTCGCACTCCGTTACCGACGTCGCGCGATGCCACCGTTGCCTTGTGTCAAAGCGGGCGTCTCCTCTCTTCCGCGCGAAGCGTCCCGTCCCGTCCCGTCCTCACAGCACAGCAAAACCAAACCACAGGGAAATGTGCTTTCTTGCGGCCATGAAACGTGTTCAGCTTCCAGCTGTTTCGTTTACAGGCTCTTTTTTTTCTATAAGGCTCCGTGTTCCTGTAGTGCATCCAAAATGTTTCCTATGTTTAGGCCTCACATTTCGTTTCAACTAAGCTAAATATATCAATGAGGCCCGCATTAATATGTTATTATATTCCATCACTGATTTCTTAAAGGGGTTGATTGATTATTTAATTACTTCCTCTCTTTTGTTTCTATTTCTAGTTTTCCTAAATTCTTCCATGCTTGTTTTTTCCACATAGAGTTGCGAAAATTCTTTTGTTGGCTAGGGAAATCCAGAGCATCTATTGCAACTTTCTTACTATTGTAATGGTGTATGTTTTAGGTCTCTTATGACCCACAAGCAAGGTTTAACCAGATAGCGGACCAAATTGACAAGGATGCTGGGATGACACGGCTTAACCTATTTTCACCTTGCAAAGTATGTTACTATCTTTCTTCTGATGATTGGTTGCTTCTTTTGTGCTTCGGATTAAGACTTGTGCATATGTTTGCGATGCAGATTAATGTGTTCTTGAGGATAACGGGTAAGAGACCAGATGGGTTCCATGACCTGGCTTCTCTATTTCATGTGAGCATTTTTGTGCCTGTTTTGTTTTTTTCCTGCATGAGTGTCTTTTTAAAAAATGTTTTTTGTCAATTTATATGGCATCTAGCTTTTATTAATGGAGTCTTACCAGTTAGGAAAAAAAACATTCGAGACCTTTCAGGAAGAAAAAAAATGTTTATTATGTTCAAACATTGGAATAGATTTCATGTGCAGTAATTTGGAATATATACGCGATTCAACACATTAAAAGGACATAGGTTAAAACATACATAGCACCATTATCAACAGCAAAGGAAACACCATTTAAATAATATACCTAATAGTTCTTCAAATGAAGTTGTTATGTTTGTGGATGTTTGCAATCCACTCAATTTCCATGAACCTCTTATTCTTCTCTTTGCAATACTGTTGATCAAGGAAAATATGTTTTGATGTTCGGGCTAAGGTTAACTTCCATTTAGACATACTGCTCCAAATACCAATTTGCATGATAGACTATTATCTGACCAATATCAAGTCTTACTTAAAAGCAACGACACATGCTTTGGACTGCCAAGAATTATCATCTGTACTCACTAGTTCTAATAATAAACTTCCAGGTGATAAGTTTGGGTGATACGATCAAATTTTCATTGTCACCAAGTAAAAGCAGAGATCGCCTGTCAACCAATGTTCCAGGTGTCCCAGTTGATGAAAGCAATTTGGTATGATGGCTCTATATACAAATAGCTGCACACTTGTTATTCTCAACTTCCCTAACTTAACTATTGTCTCATGAGCCTGCAGATCATCAAGGCACTCAATCTTTACCGACAGAAAACTGGGACTAATAACTTTTTTTGGGTACCGTCAATTACACAATCCTTTTTATCTTGAGAAGTTGCTCATTCTTTTGGCATTAAAGTGATTCATTTTTTTTGTTATTTAAGTTTTAAGGTTTGCCATTTCCGTTCAAATGTAGATACATCTTGATAAGAAGGTCCCAACTGGTGCTGGTCTCGGTGGTGGAAGCAGTAATGCTGCAACTGCACTATGGGCTGCTAACCAGTTTGCTGGCTGTATAGCTTCAGAGAACGATCTTCAAGAGTGGTCTGGTGAGATTGGATCAGATATCCCCTTTTTCTTTTCACGAGGAGCAGCATATTGTACTGGTAGAGGAGAGGTATGTTTCCCGTGGTTTCTAGTCTAGTTCACAAATATTGATCACTATATATACTTCATTTATTCTTCTTACAGCAGGAAGTATCTTTATTTTTTCCAAATCAGCTGACAGTTCTCCAAAGTTAAATACAAGTGCATCTATAATCATATATCATACTTTACCAGGGTGAAGAGTATTTAGCTGATCATGCTACCCCCATTTAGCTTGTCCTGTTTTTCTTGTTTCTTTTTCATACAAGTTACCTTATTTGAACTTTAACAGTGCTCTTCAAAATAAATTGACAAGCTACCTCTTTTAGTTAACTACGTACTAGATGGTGACATGTATATCCATGTGCAGCGTTTAGTTTTGTGCAGCAGTGTCTCATCGTAATCTGTAGCTTGAACTGAAATGTAGATTGTCCAAGATATCCCAAATCCCTTGCCGGAAAATTTACCAATGGTTCTTATAAAGCCGCCTGAAGCATGCTCAACTGCTGAAGTTTACAAGGTAACTAGTAAACACTTGCTTTCTTAATTTGAAATTCATGTGTTTTGCTCATAAGCTTCTTGTGCTGCAGCGATTCAGGTTGGAACAAACAAGTCAAGCTGATCCCTTGACCTTGCTCAAGGAAATAACTCAAAATGGGATATCACAAGATGTTTGTGTTAATGACCTAGGTATGCATATCTGCAGATAATTTATTTTGTTTCAGCATATTCTGTTTCATAACTTAAGTTTAAACAGTGTTTGTGCTTCTGTTTTTTGTTTTCTAGAGCCTCCAGCTTTTGAGGTGTTGCCTTCACTTAAGAGGTTGAAGAAACGAATTATTGCATCTAGCCGGGATGATTATAGTGCTGTTTTTATGTCAGGAAGGTAAGGAGGGATATTTCTATCAAGCTTTTTGAAGAATCTGTTTGTTCCAAGTACACTGTACACATGTTCTCAAAGACAGTGGCATTGGTGCTGATTCCTGTAATGAGCACGAAGGGAGTGTATGGAGGGATCCACTTATGAATTTGAACCGTAGAGTTGTCCACATAGGAACTGCCAAGCATTCTGCATGTCAATTAGTGTATGCCATATTTGATGAGTGGTACTGTATTCTGTGTACCTACTATAGCGAATTGGGGGGAACAGATCCCTCTGTGTGCATCTTTTCTCTGCATTTGTAACTGTACATGTTTCAATATTGTTTCATTCTGATGTCGATTGCAGTGGAACATACATGTTTTCTGTGCGTTTGGAACCATACATCTTCTAACAATTGTATATCTCTTGTAGTGGAAGCACAATTGTTGGGATTGGTTCCCCGGATCCTCCTGCATTCGTGTATGACGATGAAGACTACAAGGATGTTTTTTGGTCAGGTATGCTCGATTGTTGTACTGCACATCATTTCCATTTCGGTGCAGTCAAGAAGGATTCATGGTTGATTTTCCGAACACAATACAAGCTGAAGTGCTTAGAATGTAGTTGTGATCCTATTATCCTAACAAGTTGGAAGTTTGGAACCATCATTCTGAATGGTTGATATCTTTCTGTGCAGAGGCTTGCTTGCTCACTCGCGATGAGAACGAGTGGTACAGGGAACCAATCTCGTCCAATGCCACGTCTAGCAAAGATGGTTTGCAAGCCTCGGTCGCTGACTGATTAAGTCAGGTTCTGTATCAGATTTGT